TGAGCCAGCAATGCCACGTAAGCACTCCTCCACAACCATTGGCCACGTCAACAATGCATCCTGATCGCAGATGCGATCGATCGGGATCTGGATGGCAGCACTATCCTTGCTGAATTTTCCCCTGTCGAGATACTAATGCCACGTCAGCACCTGATGTGCACAATTCCAGTCTTATCTACATCAGCTCCTCGGTTGTAGGCATCACCACTTCTTCGTCGTCGTTCTGTACAGGTCGTCGTCGTCAGTAGTATCATCATCATCATCAGGATCATCATCATCATCTTCATCACAGTCACCACATGAGGGACGCTGAGCCTGATTCTCAGCGAGTTCGGTTCGGTGAGGACCCCGGCCTCATTCCTCCTGTTATTGGTAAAAAAAAAAAAAAAAAAAAAAAAGGTCGTCGCCTTCAGTCACATCATCGGCAATATAACTCCGATACCAAATTGCAATGAACCCAGATCGTGAAGACATTTGTCAACAATGCAAGCCCAGATAGATATCAACCTGCTGATGATTGTCAATAATCATAATCGTGTCCAGATAGAAAGAGATGGGGGAAACATACACAGGCGAAAGAGAGAGGAGGGAGAATAGACCTAGAATGAAGAAGAAGACAATGCCCACTCCTGCTTCGGGTCCCTCCTCCCTTGCCACCTCAATAATCAATAGTGTAAACACGAAGCTAAAGTTTTATCTCAATGTGCCACGTGGCACGTCAATCAGTCATGATCTCCTCCCGAGTGACGATGAATCAGAACAGGAATACCTGTGACGTAGCCTCGCCACGTCAGCAACAGTATACGTGGCAGCGGCCACGTCAGCATGCCCAGAAGACAATTGTCAGCCAGCCACCATGCCGAGCCAGCAGCGCGTCGCCGTAATCGTCCAAATGCCAGCGTAGAGCCAGTGTCCAACCAGGGTCGCAGCGTCGCGCTAGCGTCGTAGTCAACGATCAAAGTCAGCATTGATGCAAGACAGAATGTTCTCCAATCCAGGAGGTCCAGGCTTATGTAGCGTTGATGCGGGGTCTGGACCCTGGTTGCTGCTTCCCTCGGCCGTCGAGATCTCAAGGCAAATGACGACCCAGATAGGCCTGAATCCTCACTCCCTGTGGCCTTGATGTTGTCTGGCTACCAGTGCACAACAAAAGAGTGTATCCGACCAAGGGCCTGGCGTGGTACCTTTGACAGTTGACTTAGACTGTTGACTTTCCCAGGGCAGTGTGTGGTCACACTGCCTGACACAGGTTTGGGCTCCCGTCTAGGCCCTGACTTGCTGCAGAACACGGGTTACTGCAGTCCAACGAAATTCTTTTCCATTTTCCTTTGTTTCGACCCTGTGAACGAGCGAGCTTTTAAACCTCACTTGCGGTGCTCTGGTCCGTCATTCAACCGGGCCAGTGGCATGCACACACGAGAGATTCTTCTGCTATAACAGGGAAAGATACACCGTCATACTTTTTCATACTTNTCTGGTCCGTCATTCAACCGGGCCAGTGGCATGCACACACGAGAGATTCTTCTGCTATAACAGGGAAAGATACACCGTCATACTTTTTCATACTTTGTGCATGTTGAGATTTTAGTGGTGTTAGGGCCTATGCCAATGATTCGAACCGTCGTCCATGCGGAACAGGACATGGTACTTCAGGGGTCCTGGAGACCGGTGCCGGAACTACGGGGGAAGCCTGCGGGTGATCGAACTATTCCATGCGGAAGGAGGACTATTCTCGCGGAAGCAGAAGCAGGGGGAACGCGCTGCCCAAGGGGAAGTCAGCGGAACACAGCGGAGGGACAGCGCCAAGCAGGTACCAACTCCGCCATAAGCAGCAAACCCGTTACTCATGGGATTTCAGCTATGCATCTGGGCAAAATAGAGCGCGCTGTGTGTGACCGGACATAGAAAACCCCAAAGCAGCAGAGGTGGCAAATTCCAGCTGTTAAAGCGCCAACAACAAGTCCCGGCAGTTGACAACCATGCAGGAATTTCATTTTAGAAATTTCTGAAACTCGAAAAGAAATTTGTTACAGCCTCCGGAGGTCGTAGCAAAATGCCCCATCCCACGGTCCGGCAGGCCCCTGACATTTGATGGCCGGATTTGCGATTTTGCTCATTCTGGGGTAGCGTGTGACCAGCCGAATCATAAAAAATCAGGGATTTTGCCAGAAAAGGCCCTTATGTGAGTAGTCCATTAGAGAGAGAGCATTGTTCCGGAACGAGGCCCTAAGCCCTTGCATCCGCAGAAAAACAAAGGAAAAAAAAAAAAAAAGTCATCCTCAGGCCCGGATGTGTCGGGAGGTCCGGATGTTACTCTCGCATGTCGGATGCATCTCTGAGGATGGCTTCTTTATCTCTATTCCTCTTTGTTAATGCTGAATTTGTAAGGGTCTGAGGATGGGTTCTTTTTCTTTTTTCCTTTGATTTTCTGCAGATGCAAGGGCTTAGAGCCTCGTTCCGGATACCCCCAACACTCCAAGTGGGGCCCTTTCTGCGGATGCAAGGGCTTAGAGCCCATGGAGTTCGGTTTCAAGAGTGCAGAGATCCAGTTCAAGGGTTTCCTCGAGTGTATATGGAACCATAAATGGAGTTAACTTAGTGTAGACTCATCACAATTTCTTGTTTAGTGTGCACTTGAAACTCAAGTATTTTCTAGTGGTGTCCAATGACGCCCTTACTCGTTCACCACTCTCTCAACTTTTCCTACAGCTCTTGTTGGAGTGCATGCAAATTCTGGTCCCATACGTGCACGACCACCGGCCATGATTGTGGTCAGATACATCCAAAAGTGTGGTGTGCGTAATGCCCGCAGGACAATCTAATCTATATCTATGGACCTGGATCCACTACTCACAAAACGTGGAAACCAAGAATGAGTCTTCTGCTAGAACAATGGGAAGATACACCATCATATATATACTTTTTTCAAGTTTTTTCCCTTTTGTGCATGTGGGGAGAGTAGTAGCTGAGAGAGGCCCTGTTGCTGAGGTGTAAGAATATAGTAGAAAGGGGGCGGGGGGGGGGGTGGCACAAGGGGGGAAACATTTGGACCATCTCTCGATTTATGCGTGTCATCCTTGTGCAGGGGGCATGCTAATCTTCTCTCTATCGTTCCAATTTTAACGGATGTCCCGAAGGACAAGCAGGTAAGTATCAGTTTGTTTATTACAAAGCATTAGATTTCTCCTGGTCGCATGATATAACTTCTAGTTAGGTGTGACCACTCCATGCAAGATATGACTTGGGAATGAGTCGGGCGCACGGGCAGCAAGGACGGGGAAAGGAACAATGAGGGGGAGGTCCTGTCGGTGGGGAGCTACACGTTGGAGAAACCATAATTGTGTGTTTTATCAAACACATGTCATTTGAGTGGGTAGGCCGTGCTGTGTGCTGTTGCAGGCCCCGGTTTTCCCAAGAACATTTTTTTTTTTTTTTTTTTGGAACAAAGCTCCAATCTATTCGTAGGGAGCAGCATGTGCTGGGAACCAGGTCCAGCGTCCCATGTGAAAATTTACATAGACGTTTGAAAGTTTGAGATACCGGGGCCATTACCCGGCTTTGGCTAAGAAAAAAATGAGCTACTGAGAAAATTAGTACGAAAAACTTTAGAGATAGGCAAAGTTCAGGAACGACTCAGAAACCCCCCATCAATCCTCTGTACCTCACTGCGGCAAGACTTACTGCAGCAGAGCCACCATCTCCGCTGCTGTTGTACCCTATTTCCATCCTACGAGCTACTGCTGCTGCACAACCCTAACACCATCCTACTAGCTAGCCCTCCTCACCAGCAGGATGTGTGGACACCATCCCACTACCCCACCTTCTGACAGTCCACCCATCCTATTCACCCGCAAGAAAACCAAAACCCCTCGTTCAGTCTTAGTACCTGAGAACGGCTGATCTCAAACCCCCTTAGCTAGGGTTACAAGGACCGGCTACATCCCCGGTACCGACCAGCCTAATACAGACGGCAAGGAGTGCCTTCCACCCTCGACAACTCCCAAATAGTTGCACGCCCCTTTTGCTGACAGGGCTACAACCCCAGCGACAATTGCGACGAACGAGATAATGCTCATCAGCCCAATCTCGCCCTCCTGACTTACTAGTGAGGACATAACCCTCTCCCAGATGACCCCCACACAACCTCTATTCCTGTAGTTGTTTCAGACCCCATCAATTAGAAAAGCCACATTAGAACTGAATAACACAGAAAAAAGTGAGCAGAAAAATCCAAACTAGCACCACCACCTTGCCATCTTCCACGCAATTTTTGAAGGAAACCACAAGCCTCGTGATCGGTCCTCGACCCTACACACAACTAGTCTCATACCCTCCAATACTAGGGTTACAGGGCACCACCATACGCCAGTACCGACCAGCCTATAATAGACGGTAAGGAGTACCTTTCTCCCTCGGCAACTCCCATTAGCCGCCTGCCCCTAAAAAGGTGACAGGGATTAAACCCCGGCAACGACAACGTCGAAAGTGGTGGTTCTGTCTTTCTCCCTCAACAAAACTCCCCAAGCCTCACGCTCCCCCTGGTTACAAAGCAACGCTCCAGCACCGGCCTGCGTCGTCCCAGCCACATCCTTCTGACCTACTAACGAAAACTGAAGCCCCCCCCCTGTTACACCCCCCATTCATGCTTTTCACCCACCAAGTTCAACCCATCTGCTCCCCATTAATCTTGTGTGACCATATGCCATCCTATTAGCCCCCCAAATCGTCAAAGATTAAGATAAAACATTATCCGACATGCTTCAAGAAACTGTGTATAAGAACTCGGAAAAGTTTTTAGGCTCTAAGCCTCTAACATCAGGACTTTTAAAGATAAAGAAAAAAAATCGAATATAATTCTGATAAAATCAACTAAGAATCTAAATGTCAAGAAATTCGAAATCGTAATGTAAAGTTTAGGAACTAAGCACCGGATTGTAGTGTTGGGAAATCCCTAATCAAGCTATCGAAAGTTGAACTAAGCTGTCCGAACAGACTTTCGATCCTCTAAATTGAATTTATCATTTAGAAAATCACCCAAGTAATTGCAATTGAGGTAAGCCTAATGACCAGTACTGTAGATCGTATTTAAGAATCAAACCATAAGAAGGAGCTTTAAAAAAACTCACGCCCGCGCGACATCCTTCGTCCCGATGGGCGCGGGGGGCTGGGGCCTTCTTGCTGCAGTCACCGCCGCCCCCTCCTCCCTTCTCGCCTATCCCGCAGCTCGCGGCCTATCCTGCTGCTATCTGCCAATGTCACGTGGCGCGGTGACGTCCCTTGCTTGCACGGGGTTGCGCATCGTCGGGGTCACTTGGCGGCCCCGATGGTCCCTACCACCAGCATCGGCTGCCACGTCGCCCCCTATGTTGTTGTCGCCACGCCTAACCCCAAGCCCCCCTTCGTTGCCGCCTTTACTGCCTTTATCTCTGCTGATCATTCGCGCGGTGGTTCGTTCGCGCAAGCTCCCTTTGACGCGATGAAACGTGTCCGCCTCCGATTTGAAAACGTCGTTGTCCTCATTGCTGGCCTCCGTGATCCACTCTTTCCGCGTGGGCCTGCCAATTACCAGGGCGCAGGCGCCTGAGGCCTTCGCCTTCTTCGCCTGATGCCTCCCCCACTTGACGGCGGTAGCAACTTCGCCCTGATTGGAGTTTCTCCCCCTTTTCCCCTTCGCTGCCTATTCGTCATCGCTGTGAAGACAAACGACGTCGATGGCGGACGGCTGGTGCAGGATACTGGTGAAGGCCGCACAACCTACCGCTATCTGCGTTGGATTGAACAGACGCCAGACGCGCGGACGACGCGTATCACATGACGACACTGACGTCCCGGCTGCCACGCGCTCGCCGCAACGACGCCTTGTCGAACAGCCACGAAGACGCGCGCTGCGCAAGTTGGAACGGCGACAACGTGTCCGAGCGAATTTGGCGGCGAAGACAAACACGACGTCCGAAGAGAAGGAGGTGTGTCGACGAGGTGTCCAGGCGCAGTTGGCGACGATGGCCTAGACGGCGTCCGACTGAAAGGAAGTAGGAGTGTCGCCTGCCCCAGCGCGACGTCGACTGCCCTGCAATGCGCCGCACAGCAACGCCGCCAGGAGTGCGCGGAGTGGACTGCTGTGTTCTCTGATCGGTGGATGGGCGCCCGCGAAGTTTATAAAGCGAAGGCGCACGTGTCGAAGGCACCATTCGGCGGTACGGAACAGGGGCCGTCTACTGGTCGGTGATGTGGTCGCGGGTGGGGGCAGGCCGAAGGGGATGCCTTCGCGGGATCAATGCTTTCGCATCCCGTTTTCCGTCACACGTGCTGTCATTGAGCAGTATCCCCTGAAACACACCCCCACAACGACGAACACCCCCGCCATCCCATGAAGGCGGAATGCCGAAAAAAAAAAAAACTTACCACCCCCTGCCACCCAGCCCATTGGAGCCTGACAGACAGGCATGCACAAAGACGTGACGAAAACTGGATGTCCGAAATTGACACCTGAGTTTTAGCGACGTCTGCATTGGAAGGCGCCCTTTGAATGCCATGCCGCATAAAGCGTTGGCCAAAGAAAGGAGGTCGTTTCAGTACACTGATGTTCGTCGCAAGAACGCAAACATGAAGCGACATGAAAAAAAAAATAACAAAAAAGGAATAAAGTACCAAAATGAAAAAAAAAATTATTATCCTCAATGCACAACCAAAAATTGGTCCAAA